TATTTATTGTGTATATTATCTAAAATAAAAGATTTATAAGTCTTCTATCACAAAAGTATAGAAATTTTACTTATGCTCATTGGCAAAATAATTCTTACGATTTGTAGATATTGGATATCTGTTTTGGAACTGAAGCAGCACACATTGGTACACATCTTGGAGAAAAACAATTTTATGCATTATTAAAGCTTGTAGGAGCTCATCAAGCAGGACTTAACATTCATAAAGACATAATTACTATGCCTTTGGATGTTATTACTTTACCAAGATTTAGTGGGACAGTATGTGGAGATGAAGATGGTAGAAGAAGTTCAGATTCCAATAGGTTTATGAAAGGTCATTTCCATGCTCCAGAAAGTACTACAGAAAGTGAAAGTGAAGCAGAATCTCCAAGGGAAGCTGGTGGTAGTACAGATTCACCAACACCGACAAATAGTGTAATACAGGAAAGAAACAACGATATAGATGAGGAAGCAATATTAGACTCGGTATTTGGAGGTTGGCATGGATCATTAGTATCTGAAGAACGAAGGCAATTGTTAGGAACTGAAGAAGAAAGTTCAGAACGTCATAGCAGTGATGAAGGTGAAGGAGATGGTGACAGCTCAGGATTTCCACCTGAAGAAGTTTGGATAATTAGTGATGAACAACGCGAATATTATGCTGCCCAATTTGCGCAATTACAACTTGATCCTGAAGGACTTTTGCATGGTCCTATAGCAAGGACATTTTTTGAAAAGTCTGCACTCCCTTTAAGAGAACTGAGTCGTATTTGGCAACTAGCAGATATAACCAGAGATGGAGCATTAAGTTTACAAGAATTTTTTGTGGCTATGCATCTTGTTGTTTTACGAAGAAATCATGTGCCTCTACCTGATGTCTTACCTCCACCCTTATTAATCCCTCTGCTTAAGCAAAAAACTGGTCCACCACCTGTTCCACCTAGTACAACTGTTCAAAAAACTTCACCTAATACCACTGGTACTCGTGAAAGAAACAAAGAGTGGACAAAATTTGTTGATTCACCAACTGGAACTAGCAGTTCTCTGACTAGCCCAGGTCTACAATTAGTGAATTTTGATTTTCAAAAATCTGCAGTTGAAAAAGACCCTAAAATTCTGCATCCTGTACCATTACGTTTAACACCTGAAGCAGCAATCCTCGCTTCTGGAGCTAATGGTAATAATAGTAGCTGTACTACATTAGGAGATGATGATCTCCAACGCACTGCAAGTGCATTGGTGCAACGACCTCTCATAAAAAAACCACCTCCACCTGTTGAAGAAGCTATTATTGTAACTCCAAAGAAGGAACCACCACCTCCACCACCACCCAGACCATATAGAACACATGCAAGAAGTTCTAGTCTTGATCTTAATAAATTAGGTATATGTTGCTACCAATACTCTGCGATACTTTTCATCTGTGGCTGTGAAAGCAAAGTTTTACGCTT